TTTTAGTTTTCCTCTATGACATTTTCTTTTTATCATTAATGGGTATTCACTTTTGTCAAATGCTTTCTCTGCATCTATTCAGATGATCCTTAGAGTTTTCTTTTTCTGTGTGTCAATGCGATGAATTACACTGACTTTAAAACATGAAATCAACCTGAACTTCCTAAAATAAATATCGCTGGATTAAATGTAATATCTTTTTATGACATCCCAGTGGCAAACTGCGGGAGACAGACATGGCAGTCCCCTTCCACAAAGATCTCCTAGGAGACAGTCCAGCTCTGGAGTTGGGTTCTATTTTGTTCTAGAGCAAATCAAGTTGCTTAGAGCCACTAAAGGCTTTCAGGGCCCACGCTAACATTTTATTAGAGTAGATTAGAGCCCTCAGTCCAGAGCAGAGGTCCCAGAGTCCAAATCTTGGTCCCAACCTCTCACTAAGACTGATTCTGACATTTTACGAGTTGTACGCACGTGAACACGGCTAACTAGTCAAAACCCTACCCAGACCCTTCCACGGATCTGCAAAGACCTCCTCCTCTGTGGGTTCCCTTCTCTCCTCTATGTCCCGTACATTCCAGATCCCTGGCTCGGCCATCCAGGACTCAGTGAACCCAACAGGCGAGGGGGGGCACGAGCAGCCTGCATGGGGGTGTGACAACTACTCTGCCCGTCCCACTCAGGTGCCACAGTTCGGGGCTGCTTCCCAAGATCTGAAAGCCATTGTTTTCTGCATCCCATTGGGCTTTCCAGCTTAAAGGGAATTTTGTCTCTGTTACTCCATCTACGATAAGAGTAAAACTAGTCATTACGAATTTTTTTGAAACCAAAGTACGCCACTATGTTAACATGTATTAGATGTATTGCTATTAGTTTTAAATGTCTCTCTCTCTATATATATATATATATACATATATATATACATATATACACATATATATACATATATACGTGTGTATATATATATACATATATACATATATATACACACACACACACACACACATACATTTCCTAGCTTTGTTTTCTTCTGTGAACCCATGGGTTATTCTGAGATGGCATTGTTTTGTCTCTAACTATTTGGTGGTTTTCCCAAGGCTTTCCTGTTCCTGCCTTTTAAATTCTACTGTGGCCCGAAAACATACTCTGTTTGCTGGGTGGGCCCTCACGGAGGGCCCCTGCGGAACCAGTGCTGCTCCAGGCGCTCGGCGCGCTGTCCTGCAAAGCCCTGGACTCCCAGTTCAAACCGCCCCCCCACCCCCCCAGATGCCGAGTCTACCAGGCTCTCCCTGGAAACCTCCCCAAGAGAGTAAGCTGATCTTATTCTCTAGCTCCTTCCATTTTCCCCATCTCTTGGGGATTCCTGTCCCTTGTTGCCTGATGTTCCAGTGCCTTGGAAGCGACTGCTTCATGTTTTATCTGTTTATTTCTAGTAGGAGGATACGTCCCTCTTACTTCATCACAGCTAGAAATATCAATCCTCCAAGCTGTAATATGTAATATAATACACACCAATAAACGCAACCCACATTAACAAAAGCTCTTTTGTACTTGATAGTTTTTTAGCATGCAAAGAGCCGTGGAGAACTGAGAACCTCTACAGTCAATACAGGAGTTGTCCATGACTTACCTGTAGGCTCTGCCTCTAGTAGCATCCTCTTCCTGGTAGTCTGATCTAAGAAACACTACCTGTCATCTAATACCTGCAGCATGTCTTTTGAGTCGGGTAGACTCATTCATGCCGGATTCTCTTTCCCATTGGATATCCAACAGAAACCAGAGGTGAATGCAGACAGGAGGGCAGAGGGTGATTTCCTCTTCGCATCCCCAGTTGTTCCCCACTCAGCTTCCACATCAGTAGATGACACCATGATCACCCTCCCCACTTGCTTAAAACAAACATGGAGGAGTAGTTAATCTGTCAGTTCATCAGCAAACACTGCTGATTTGATCATACTCCACTGTGACCACTGGAGACTAGGCCAAATGGACACAATCGCCTCAGTCGGGTCTTTCCTCACGTGTCAGGCCACTTCTGAAAGATGCCTTCCTGGGGGCAGGCGGTCACTCCTCTTCACACTCACCACCCCCTCTGACGGGTGCACACGCCAACTCTTCTTCACACTTACCACTCTGACTAGCACACATTCTGACTGCTGCTGTCCCCTTTGTCAGTGATGGGCAAGAGGAGATGGGGAATGACCACCTAGGAGGTGGCAACTCAGCTAGTAGGGTGGCAGGGGATAGAGAGGTGTGTAGAATACATCTAGGAGAATTACAGGAAATAGAGATTTTAAAAAAAACTTGACGAACTGAACATGCATTTGCCCGTTTAAAAAAACAAGTTACACGTGAAAGCTCAAGATGCAGACTGGTCAGGTACTGACTGGCCCTATGCCAATAGCTAGGAGTCCGGGGGACATAGTGGTTATACATTGGGCCACTAACCACAAGGTCAGCAGTTCAAAACCACCAGTTGCTCCTCAGGAGAAAGATCGGGCTTTCTACTCCTATAAGGAGTTTCAGTGTCCGAAGCCCACAGAGTGGCTACGGGATGGAGTTAGCTCGACGGCAGTGAGCATGCCTGTAGCCAGAGGACAGGAGAAGAACACAGCCGAGTCTCGAGGGACAAGTCTGCCCGAGCTGGAATTGCATACCGAGACCGTGATCACCATCAACTGTGAAAGTCCTATATGATCCCGAAAATTATTTCATCATTCATCTTTCCTCTAAGAGTTTCCTCTAAGGCGGTGGCGGAGGGGGGGGGGGGGCATTTATTCTACTCAAATAAGGAAAGACAACGGGGAGGTTTGGACCCTTGGTGAAATTAGGGGGCACAGGCGGGAAGAGAGCGGCGTCTGAGGAAGACGAAATCCCAGGATGCCAACTAGAGTTGAGGCCCAAGGAGCAGCCCAGGCCATTGAAGCAGAACAGCAGAGGCTAGGAGTGGTTGTGGGCAAGATGCTCTAAGAAAACAATGAAGTGTTTAGATGTTTAAAGGGTGATTCACACTTTCCGTGGGAGCTTGGAAGTAAATTGGTGCTAGCTATGCAGTAAAGCAAGGAAGCGAAAGAGAATGATTCACTCTAGGAGAAGCAGACTGGTGCTGGGGAGGACAGCGGCTGAAGAGCTAGGCTGCTCACTGCAAGGTGGGCAGTACGAACCCACAGCCACTTTGCAGGAGAAAATGCAGACAAGATGCGTCCCAGTAGACTTACACTGCCAGAAACAATATGGGCCAAGTCTGCTCTATCTGACGCAGCAGCTGGGAGTAGGAATCAGCTCAATAGCAGAGGGTTTGGGTGTTGGGTGTGTTTGCTTTTGAATGTATATTGTGAGCCATGCAGCTAAATGTTGGCCTGACTGAAATGTATGGTACAGCAATATTTAGAGGGTAGGGGGTGGCATAGGCGGTGGGGTCAGGGTACATTGTAGAAAGCTGCAACTTCAGTTAGCCTACTAGAAAGTGAGTGCTGAGAATGCACATCTGAAAATCTTGAAGATGTGTTACAAAGAGAACAACCTTCTTTTCATAACCACGACGGTAAACAGCAAAGGAAACAAAAGGCAGGAGTGGCACCTCCCGGGCAGGCAAGCCAGTAGAGGCAGGTTGCTGGGGGACTGGGCAAGTGGGTTCTGGTTTCCATCATCAACCTTATAGAGCCGCGTGCTTGGAAAACAAATGATTTGCACATCAATTGTTAGATAAAATATACTTAAAAGAAGAGGAGACAGCTATTTCCAAGCTGAGGCTACATCAGAAGGTACAGCTACACAGACGGCTGAGCATTCGACCTTCATGAAGCTACAACAAGGTTTACAAAAATAAATGAGTAAGAAAGCATTCTCCAAGGCTTGTTTTAGGTCTGAGCTAATTCATTTAACAGGACCCAGTTATTAAAGATAAACTTTTTAGAGATTTGTAAATGGTAAGCAATAGATATTTGCGTACTTTCTTGTGTGAGTCTAACCCACATTTTCTTAGTGACCTAATTGTTAGGCATGATAGACAGCCGTTTGGTGATTCAAATTACATCTTCGTGTGCAAATTTTGTGGAGTCCTTATTTTTATAGGTTTTATTTGGAAAACTTCAGAGGTCATGCTCTCCTCTATCTCCACTCTGAGGGAAAACCGCTTTGCTTTTCAAAGGTTGCTCACAGAAGCTCACACGGTGCTCGTCTTCCTAACAAGACAACAACATCGGCTTTTGCTGTGCAGTCCGCCGTCCCGCACACCGGGGCCCCTTCCTGCTCCGGCAAAGCACGGCCAGCACACCCTCATGGAGTGCCGCTGGGCTCGCTGCTCCCTGCTCCTCGGCCAGACCCCTTCGAAACCTGCCCCTTCTACACCCACGGACTGGAAACAGGAACCACAAGTCTCTTAGAAACGGACCGGGCTGGAGATACTCAGCAGACATTTATTAACTATCTGTTTGTCAGGCACTGAAATGTAAGTGGAAAACCAACCAAGCAAATAAGGAGTAACCACTAATCAGTTAAGAAAACAGGCACATGTTAGGCCCAGGCAGGATTTAGATGAGGGGACAAAGTGCAGGGAAAAATAGAAGCCAAAGATAATGGAGTTTTTCCATGAACTTTTTGAAGTATATACAAGACTGTTTAAGAAAGGGGCGTTGGTAACAATGGATACAATGAAAGAGCGCTTTCTGACATGAATGGGCACGTTCCAAAAGTGCTGCCGTCCTTCCAGAAGCCTCCTCAGGGAGGTGTGAGGACAGCATGCAGAGCGGGTCTCCAGGCAAACACCTCTGTTCTCACAGAGCTGCCCCGAGAGCAGCAGCTCAATGTTTGCACAGTGTCCTGTCAGTAGCCTGTTAGTCAGAAATCACAAAGCAGGTACACGGAGTTACAGAAAGTAATGGGAACAAGAAAAGTCTGCCCCCAGTATTACGATAAAACTTAACTTCCAAAAATGATTGGAAATGAAAAACCTAGTGGCCCACAATTCTTGCTGTAAATAAAGAACACACTTCACAACTTACGATACGTGCGATGGATTTCATCTATTTCCTTTTCGGTTTGATCCTTTGTAAAAACCATGACCTAAAATCATACAGAACAGTCTTAATACAAAAACATGAAAGACAAAAAAAAAGACAAAACACACGAGTACTACCAACATTCAGGTCTAAAATGTGATATTTAACAAAGAATAAGTAATCTCTTGTTTTACATAGCTCTAGTAAAACTATTTCTAGTGCATTTCTCTTAATTTTCTCTAGTAAAACTATATCTAGTGTAATTCTCTTAATAAGACAATTCCTTTTTGTCTGCTATCTTTCATTTCCTAGCTAACTTCTCCAAGTTCATATTAGAAAATAAATACATAGCGGAAAATGCAATACTAATACAAGTGTACAGAGCTCTGGTTGCACTGCCTGCTAAGCATCCAAATGCTAACTACAAGGTCAGCAGTTCAAACCCACTAGCCACTCTGCAGGAGAAAGACAGGCTACATGCTTCCATAAAGACTTACAGCCTCAGAAACCTTAGATAAGATCACTGTGAGTCAGAACCAATTTGATGATAGTGGGTTATAGGTTAGTGCATCCGTATTTTATTTTTTCATCTTTATCTTAGAAGATTCGAAGTCCACTCACATGATTTATTACAAATCTCATCTTGCAGACGGCACAGGTAATGAAGACAAAGAGACACCCTCCCCTCCCCACTTTTCCCCCACTGGTTAGAAGGAGCCCTGGTGGTGTAGTGGTTGCCCACTGGCCTGAATCCAAAAGGTCACCGGTTCAAAACCACCGCAAGTTATAGGCTCAGAAACTCAAAGGAACAGTTCAAAACTGTTCTACACAGTCGCTACGAGCCAGCATCGACTGAATGGCAGTGGGTTTTATCTGGTTATAAACTTACTTCCCCACGGTCCCTGGCTTTCCTTATGAATTTTAGTGATGGTCTAGGGTGGTGGTTCTCAACCTTCCTCATGCTGCAACCCTTTAATGCAGTTCCTCGGTTGTGGTGACCCCTCAAACCATGACATTATTTTTGTTGCTACTTCGTCACTGTCATTTTGCTATTGTTATGAATCAGGCGACCCCTGTGAAAGGGTCTTTCGAGCCCCCGCTGGTCTAGGTGGGAAAACAACCCAACCTATTCAGGCAAGCCAAAAACACTTCCCCTAGTGTCTGGCTCACAGCAGCCCGGTGTACAACAGAACAAACCCCACCCCGCCCTGCACCTCCCTCACAATTCCTATGGCATGAGCCCGTTGCTGCAGCCACTGGGTCAACAGTGTCACGGTGAGGAATTGAGCGACCGTGCTCTTCCTCGGGACTCTTGCTCAAGTTTCGGATGATCAAGCTGGAGGAAGGCCATAGGGAAGAGTTCCAGATCTCTGATTGTCTCAGTACACTGAACAGACTACTCGGTCCTCACATATTCTCCCCAGTCCTCCTACCGAACTCCTCCCGAGGGAGACTCTTGGAATTACAGAAATGCCAGAGCTAAAATGGGATTTTAGAGTGAGCATATATTTCGACCCTCATTGTGCTTTCAGATGCCTACAGGGGAGAAAGAACGAGTTGGTATCGAAGCTCCCTGTTGCACAGGCGAAGGCTTTCTTCATAGAACTCTACTTACATCCACATCTGTACTAGAACACTGGCAAACACAGACTGAGCTTTAAGTCAGAAGGGGCTACAAGTATGTCGCAATGTACTACATCAAAACGTCTTCCAGCGTATTGCCCACCAAACAGCTCTCATAATGGTTTGCTTTCATACTAGAACACGAAGCTTTATTTTTCCCTCCCTTTCTGCCAAGACAATGAAACAGATCCCATCAACATACGTTTTCGTTGAGTTTACTAGCTTCAAGACGCATCCTAGTCTTCTCCACGTTCTCAATTTCTTTAACTATTTCAGCAGCTGTTTAAAAAAAAAAAGAAAGATATATTCATTATTTTGCTCATGGTACAAAGGCTGTCTACGTTAACACAGGACAGTGACCGGCAAGGGAGAGCTCTGCGTGGTTTCTATAAATCGACAACTATTTCAAGACAAAGACTTACGCATAAGGACATAAAGCCAAAACACCGAACCCTTGTAAACACACCACAGTTTACATATAATCAAAAGAACAAATTCAAAGCATTTTGTGTCTCCTTTGCGCACACAGGTATAAACCGCAGTCCCAACAGGATGCTAATGAAAATCATTAATGAAAATCAATTCATTCGTGAGTCCATCTCCTGGAGGAGGTCTAGGTGTATTCAATCCCCAGGTACGAAATGCAGTACACCGTGCGCACAACACCAACCCTTGTCTGCAAGCAGAGTACTAAGCAGACCCCTCAGGAAGATCTGTAATGTACCCCTCATCATGCATACACGGCTCTACATGCAAACGGCACACGCTAAAAATGCCATCTCTCTGCCTCCACGGTTGGCATTATAAAAACTAAAACTCGGTAAAAGTGAAGAGAACATTTCGGCACAGACACATTCTGTGGAGGGTTGTCAGGGCTGGGAAGGAATGAAAAATTAAATCCCTCACCAGAGGGTCGAGCTGGTCAAGGGCCAGGCCACCCCCGACCCAGGGAGAGCTCGACTCGGCCAAAAGGAGGCACGTGTGGCCACATCCACGGCCACACCAGAGCCCAAACAAGGATCTTCACGCGGAGACATTTAAGCTAAACACGGGCGGGATGGTGACTGGGCCCCCCACGCAAATACATGCACGCGGGACAGAGGACGCTTTTCTATATGATGGGGCTTCCAAAAGTCTCTGGGAAGATTCGGTTATCTTTTCATTCTATTTTTCGATGAACTTCTCAATGCCCTCAAAAATGCCTTCATTTGTGCTGTGCATATACCCATGAGTGTAGTACAGCATCACTCACCGCCATCAAATCAGTCCAACTCAGAGACAAGCGACAGGAGAGGGTAGAACTGCCCCTGTAACTCTTTACCGAAGTAGGAAACTCCATCTTCTGCCACGGATCAGCCCAAAGTGTAAACCACTACACCTGCAGTACAGCAGCAGATGGGAGGAAACTATGAAACCTTCTTAGCCATGGCAGCAGTGAGATTTTATGTCAATGGCACTTGGGTAGGGGTGGAGTCCAATCTGTCGATCCCATACAGCTTGGTGGTACCTCCTAGGGGGTGGTGACCTTTTTAAAGAGAGACTCTGAGGGCCTCGCTCTGTCTCTCTGCCCCTTTGCTTTCCTGCTTGTTGGGGCTCTGTGCCTGCCTCCAGGGGCACTGTCATGTGGGCAGCCTGACCCTGAGTGCTCTTGGGCCCTGCCACGTTTCCACCAACTTTGGATCCACCCAGCCCTGCGCCCACCAGCCTGGGACCTTCACGCATCTCACTTCTCAGCGTCATCGGCCTGTAGCTGTGCGAGTCTGACCAGGGTTCCAGCTAGCAGCAGACCCATGGACTTGAGCTGGGCTGCCTTCCCGATATCCGATGACTTCTTGGCATAAAGCTCTTTCTTATACATATGCGAGTGCCCCTATACAACCCAGTCTAAGACAGCCACCTTGAAGGAATGAGTTGCTGAGTCTGGGGGCCTGATCAGGGCCACAGGTAGCTCTGGTGGCACTCTCAGGTAAATGTTGACTGCTAACGGCAAGGACAACAGTTTGAACCCACCAGCCACTCTGCAGGAGAAAGAGGAGGTTGTCTGCTCCAATGAAGATCTCCAGCCATGGAAACCCTCGAGAGCAGTGGTTCTCAACCTTCCTAATGCCACAACCCTTTAATATAGTCCCACATGTTCTGGTGGCCCCCCCCCCCCAACCATCAAATTATTTTTGTTGCTACCTCATAACTGTCATTTTGCTACTGTTATGAATTGGGCAACCCCTGTGAAAGGGCCATTCGACACCCAAAGGGGGCACGACCCACAGGTTGAGAACTGCTGCTCTAGAGGGTTGCGATGGGTTGGAATGGATTTAAATGCCCATGGGTGTGGGGAAAGGTCAATTGGCATTATGTAATCCTCAAAGACAATATTCTACACCTTACTTGGGTGGGTGACTCTAGGGTCCAAAAAGACTGTTAAGTGGCCATCTCCAGGCAACCATTGGAACACAGAGGGAAGAAAATCAAATCAAAGACTTGAGGAAGCAATGAATGTAATCGCCCCTGTGAATATCACCCCCATGACCTGGACACCACAAGAACTTGACCACTGCCGACCTCTCCGCAGGGAGCACGTTAGGAGCTTGGATTGGATGGGAGAAGAAGGTGGAACAAGCCTCAATATTATAAAAAATGACCAGCTTCCTGGTCTAATGGGACTGGTGGATCCTCTCACAGTATGGTTGTGGTCGTTACATAATCTGTTGTCAATTTGCAACTTAAGAGTGAAGGGATGGAGTTTAACCTGTCAATCAGGTCACACACAGCTTGATGACCTCATTTGGAAGTGCTAAGGAGATAAATAGCTCGCTGGAGGTGGGATACATGCTCATTCCCTGTGAGACATGCTTGCTGACAAGACACACGGAGCTACACTAGAGCCCTGGAGCTGGAGGAGCCACATGGAGACGTCTGCCAGTGCTGAGATGCTACCATTGCCACTGGACCCACAAGACTTTCCACTCACTGGCCTGTGATCTTCCTGCAATCGGTGTCAGTGTGTGTGTTTCATGAGTCTGAAGAGGACTTTATAGATTGGTATCGGACATATGGGCTAATATCGGACGTATGGACTTGATCTGGACTAGGCTGAGATGTTTTCTTAATATACAATTACTCTGTTATATAAAGCTCTTTCTTATACATATGAGTGTCTATGAATTTGTTTCTCTAGTTTACTCAGACTAACATAATGGTCTTTAAACATCCTTCAGGCCTGGATCTGAACTTACTTCTGATGCTCAACTTTCAGCTAAAGAGTAGAGAGGCTCATAAGGTGAATAGTAGAACCAGGGAGATGGGCTCTCCTTAGCACAATCAACCTGTGAAATCCAAAAGGGAGCATGTGCCCAAGGGGTGGGAAAGAAGGGAAGGCGGGGCAGAAGGAGGAAGAGGGCGGTAGCCTTGTGGGAACTGCCATCAATGTCATCAAACGTGGATCAATGTTTAAATACAGAATCACTTTGTGCTCCCAACCTTCACCCAAATCACAACTTAAAAAAGGGAGGGAGGGGGGTCCTGAAACAGTAAAATGAAATCCCAAATTAAAAACCTTCCTATGTATGTATGTATGTATGTATGTATGTATGGTATAGAATGAAAGTCTAGAATACCACATACACTAAACTACTTAAACATAAAAAGACATAATGCCTGAGATCTGTTTTGAAATAATCCAGAAGCACGGGGCTGAGGAAGAGAGATTGGGCCAGGGGCGATAACTGTCCCACTGGATGAACAAGTGCATTCCTCTCCCTACGCTTGAGAGAGTCCCCAGAAAGTGACTTAAAGAAAGGCACCCACAGCACTGAAATGATGATTTAAGAATGAGCACAATTACCTCAACATCAAGTTTCTATTTTCCAAGTACTGAGACACATTTGGCTTCTGTACTACTGTGAAACTGGTAGAAGAATTGTCAACAGAATATCTCTCTGTGAGCACCAACAGCGATCATGTCTCCCCTCTCCAAACTCACTGATAACAAGTCAGCAAAGGGGGTCATTTGCCTTCCACCCAACCCACCATCGCAAGCACAAATCAAGAGGGAGACCATCTGGCAAGTTCTCTTCTAGCCTCTGTAAGGATTAGGTACAAATTTAGGGGTTCAATTTTGCCCAGAGAGACTGCTGGTTTCATTTAGGGTGTGGAAAGCAGGAAACAGTGCCACTTCCACGCTAGCGACAACAAAAGGTTAGGTAGTCTACAAAACCAGCAGAGGTGAGATTAACCAGCTCGCCAATTAACCAGCTGCTCGTCCCACAGCAATGTGTACCCAAAATACTAGGAAAAGATTATTGGTTTCAATCTCCCAGGAGTGGAAATGATACGAATGCTCATCAAATATCGAATGGACATCAGAACGGCAGTTGGGGCAGCAGTGTCCCCCTTGGAAATGTTCTCTTGAGCTTGGGGACCAGAAGGACGTCAAAAGGAGGAAGAGCCAGGCTGCAGCAGGGAGGAGCTTCCCCAGTGAGATTCTCAGAGGACAGGTCGCGTTGCCTTGAAGAACGCCCAGTGGACTCTCCTGACGGGAACACACTCCCTGGAGCATCGTTCCGGCTCTTTTTCTGACAAAGCAGAATTCCATGTCTTACAACACCTTCCCAGGAAGCCCCCGTAATTGTCCCGGTGAGAACATCTATCAAGATGACCGCTTGGGAGCCCCCGGAAACAGTCACCATACCTTCTGACCTCTCCGCCCTGAATGGCAGAGCCCTTAGAAGTCCCCATGGTTTGACTGCACCTCTTGTTTTCTCAGGGCCACGACAAGTGTGTTTCTGAGGTCAGTTGTCGGCAGCCATGCCGACTGCAGGGACATGCTTCACTACTTATTGTTGGGGAAAAATCAGGGCACGTCTGAACGGGTGCCCAGGGAGCGACACTCTTTTATGTACTCTCATATTTATACAGAGGAACACTTTGTAGCAACAAAACTGAAAAACCACAACTTTCCACAAAGATAGATGAATCTTGTAAACACAATGGTGCACAAATAACAGCAGACGCAGAAGAATACACTGTTCCATAGATATAAAGATTAGTTAAAACCAGGCAAAATTAGCATACGGAGTTAAAGTCACGAGAGCGACAAAGGTGATCGCTGGGAGTGGAGGGGGCAGAGGCCCCTGAGATGCTGGCAGGGTTCGCTTCTTGATGTGAGGAGTGACTGCAAAGGTACTTTCAGTTTGTAAAATTCACCCGGGCACTTAGCGCTTGCATGCTTTTCTGTGTGCACAGTACGCGACACTTTTAAAGAAATTAGACAATTCTGTATGTACAGAAAGGAGCTCCAAAGATCTGTGTTGAAAGTGAGGAAAAAAGGACGACCAGACACTATGAACAGTGCTGTAAAAACTCCTCTTGATGTCTAATAATCATAATTGTAACGTTTATTGAATACGGCTTACTAGGTTCTGCGCCACACATTTTCCATGCATTTTATCAGCGAGTCTTCTCAAAAACACTATCAAGTAGGTAGGAGCACAGCTCTTATTTTACAGGACGGAGAGATTAAGTAATCTGTCCAAAGGGCCTGGCCGTGAAGGAGAAACACAGGGCTTGAGACTTGGGCTCTGGGTCCCTAGGAACCACCACACTGCAGCTGCAGGAGACCAGCAACTGTGCTTGCCTCGGAAAAGAGGATTTGGAGACTGGGAGGCACACTCTGAGAAAAGATTGCTTGTCACAGTGTAGTCTCAGCACCTTTTGAGCAAATGCATTTACATGTATCGTCTGTTATCAAAAATGTATTTATTACATGTTTTTCCTACCAGCCTATGGTGTGTAATCTCTGAACCACACACACAAAACAATCTCCACTCCAAGGACAAGCGTAACGTCTAGCTTCATCGCTTTACCTGGTTTAGGGTGCAGAGAGTCACACTGGGCATTGTACATGTGCACAAATTCTTGGTGCCTTTTCATGAGCTGGTGCTTATTTCCTTGCGTCGATAATCCGTGTAGTTTTAGCTTTTTCTTTAAATCACGATCAGAGAGTAAGTTGTACACAATTTTGGGCAGCGGCTTTCTTTTTTGAACAGAACTGAAAAGGGAGAAGGGAAAAAAGGGCTAACTCAGGATTATTGAGAACGATCAAACGCTTTTCAGGTAAAACAGTAATTTACCTTCTGACTCAACAGCTGCGCAAGTGGGACAATAATAAAGCCATTACGAAGACAAGGAGCGACAGGAGGAGGAGCAAGTTTGGGCAGAAAGGCAGCAGTGATCACCAGGCTGCCTCGGAAGCTCCTGGGCCGTAGTCAGAGTGTGTCTGGGGAGGCCGTGAGAGACTTACTGTCAGAAGGTGGCCATGCCTAGAAATAAAGGCTGGAGCTCAAGAAGGCTTGTGGATCAGGTGCTGGGAGAACTTCCCCGAGCATCACTCTTAGGTGGACCTATTCCACTCTCCACCTCTTCAAAGCGTGCTTTTCCTTCAACTTACCAGCGGTTTCCATGCAAACTCCCTGTAAAACAGTTACCTCAGGTGAACAGAGTACGTGCTATTGTGGGTTCAACTTTAGATTTCAGGATATAATTTCATATATCGCTTCTTCAGAAAACAATTCTGATCGAGAGACAAAACTGCTCACTTCAGTCCTAGGCCCTCCCTTTGCAAAGGCCAGAGATGAGATCGAGAGAGGACAGCTGTGGGGAGGGTGGCCGTGATCACCACTGACACAAGAAGTTAGGAAGTTGGTGGGTGGATAGAATTCTTGTTGCGTCATCTTCAAAGGACACAAATGAACACAACAAAAAACAGAGATTTGAGCAGCTTTGATCATTTGTGCTCTAAATATATAAGGCATTACACAAAGCATATTAGCAAAATCTACCACCTGGTCATTCAGTCCAGTTACAAAATTGTGATAAGCCATTGGCCACCATTTAAAATAAAGCCATCTTAATATACTTACTCTTATTCTTTCTAAAGGAAGAAATAAATATTGCTTTTTAAGACTGCCATCAGCGTGATTCTGACTCATTGCCACCCTGCTTCGTAAAACGGGGCAGAATTCAAAGTCCAGTCCCTGAGAGTACCAATGACCTGAGACCATTCTGATGAACACAAGCTCCCTGGTCTAAGGTGACCAGACGTCTGATTTTTAACAATTTGTCCTGCGTCCCGTGGCACTTTTAAAAAGTCCCGATTTTTGGAAAGAATGCACGACAAGCTAGGGTATACGGTTTTCGGCTGCCATGTGGCTATTTCGCCAGGATATGAGTTTTATCAATGGTATCCCGCGTGATCAATGTTAAAATCTGGTCACCTTACCCTAGTCTGATTCCGGGGTGCTTCTCCAAGGACACTACATTACCTAGCTCTACTCTATGGCAGCTAGGTGTCTAATAACTACATGTTCATGGTGATCACTATGGTTGCAGTCATATGAAAACGAAGATACTGAAAATCAGCAGGGACCTGAAACTAATAGGTTTATCCCCCAAACTGGATTTTACAAAGAACTTCTATATAACTCATACAAGGCTGTGTGCTTCCCAAACTTCGGTGTTCTTCAGAATCAAGCAGAGACCTAAAATCAGTATTTGCAACAAGGTTCCTCAAGGATAAGTCTGATGCAAAAGGTCTCCAATGGCCCATTTGTCTGTCCCTGGCTAAGTTACTTCTTTTATGTTCTATCGATAAAAGTAAGTCAGAGACAATGATGGTAGCTGTGGAAAGGCCTACAACCCCTCAGCAGATCACATTTCTCTGACAGCTGCTCTCTGTACAATTGCAGCTCACTGGATCCAACGAGACAGATAAAACGACAGCAAAGAAAGTCGTGCAGCACAGCAATGGTGGAAGCATTCAGGAACAGGTTGGACAAACACAAGAGGGGTGGGGCAGAGATCGCCAAGTCCCAAGAATTTCTACATATGACACCTGATCAACATTTCCCTAAATGCCAAAATGACACGGATCTTTCTTCCATGACTTAGGGAAATGGATGAAAGTGTCCCAGGGGCTCTGCAGGCATCAAAAGAAACAGGGCACTTCTATTTTGGATCAACTTTGACACCAATCTTAGAATGTCACCATCCACTTCAAAGAGGCGCCTCAGCACGAGGGGAGGACACAGAAAACCTGGCAAAGATTTGTCCACGTGACCAGGTGCCAGGATGTGCATGAAGCTTCCCAAACGTGTATCTTCACCAACACCAGTTTTCCAGGGTGTTAATATAAGGGCCAAAAGGTTGAACGGCTAAACAAATTTAGGAATCACTGGGTCACACAAAATCTAACATTCATCTCCGATGAAAGCCTACCTGGGACTCTGGGTGCACTAGCCTGATAGGGAAGCTCTCCCTGAGAGCCAGATAAAGCACGGGGGTGTTTGCTGGGCTACAGAGCCACTGGTAGGACCATAGTGCCCCAAGGTGCAGGATCTGCGAAGCGTTCTTGAAGTGTAAACACATGGATGAGTGTGTGTGTAGTGGGGGGGGGGGGTTGGCAGAATGAAACACGTTACATGAAACACGATGGGAGAACCTACAAGAGGCGGCATCCAAACACGACTGTCAGAGCTGATTCCTTACTCTTCAAGGAGAACATGCTAAACTTCTATGCTCCCAACTCGGTCTTCAGGAGGCAATATTTTCAAAGAGAAAATTAGGTCATCAGACTATCAAGGCTTCTAAGAAATAAACCTTGGGATTTTATATTAATTTAGAATCTCCACTAACTAACAATCTAAAAGAGATGTAGAATTTTTTATTTTCATCAATAGATTTATCTGCCAGGTTTCCAAATATAAATTGGGCTTTATGGGCTTTTTTGTATTCTAAAGTAACTTTTTTATTAAGAAATCATTTTATTGGGGGCTCTTGCAGCTCTTATAACAATCCATACATCAATTGTATCAAATGCATTTGTACCGTCATCATTTCCAGAACATTTTTTTTCTGCTTGAGCCCTCCCTTGGTGTCAGCACCCTTTTTTCCCCTCCCTCCCTTCCCCTCCCAACCCTCGTGGACCCTTGATAAATTATAAATTATTATCATTTTCACATCTTACACCAACTGCTGGCTCCCTTCACCCACGTTTCTGTTGTTCGTTCCCCGGGAGTGTGTGTGTTGGGGGCTGGTGGTGTGTCTATCATTATAGTCAGTTCTCCAGGCTTTATGTTTTAGCTTAGGTGAGTTGTAGCAGCATGAGTTTGTCCCTCAGAACTGGCATTCACTCTGTTTAACTCATGAAAATCATTTTGAACCTTTTTCATTTTAATCACACAGACACGCTTTTAAAAATGGGCCTGCCTTACTAATACGGTCTTTGGCAAATGTTCTCCCAGTCCTTCAAACGGGTCAAACAAGGGCCGTCATTCAGTCATCTCCGCCTCTCGGGCACCATGCATTTCTTCCTCCTCACTATTCCAAACCGCTCTGTTCTGTCACCCAGGCTCTCTCCCGGTCAAGCCTTTGGTCCAACGAAGCTTCTCTGCATAGTTGACCTCCTTTCTGGACTCGGCCTCTCGTGCGCCTGACCTGTTGCAATGATCACCTGCTCTCTCCTTAGAGATGGTGAAGGGTTAGATAATGCCTATTCTTTTAAAAACTCAAATCTTCCCTCCATCTTTCTGTTTACTCCTTCCCCAAACTACCGTCCCTTCTGTTCCTGCTTCCTCACCAGACTTACCTAATTTACAGCTTCTGCTTCTTGATTATCTTCATTTACCACTGATTACGGCATGCTCTGTCATCTAACTTCGACTACAATTTCAATCCTGAGCAACCTACAGGTCATCACAGTGCATTCGTTGAATAAGTCAGTGTGAGCGTGACAGGAGCCCTGGTGGTGTGGTGGATGACTCAGTGGGCTGCCAACCCCAGAGTTAGCAGTTCGAATCTACCAGCCAGCTCTGCAGGAGACAGTTAGGGCTTTCTGCTCCCACACCATCGACAGCCTGGGGAACTCACGCAGGCAGTTAGTTCCACCCTGTCCGGTAAGGTCACTACGACAATGGCAGTGACAGGCCTGATGATGGATAAGACAGAATAACATCGCAGTGGGAGCACATAACAGCAAGCTGACACCTCATTTCAACTCATTCGTTGCATCACCTGTGGGGCCCAGGGTGGAGTAAAAAGTACATTCCACACAAACCCTAATGGAAGTTTTTATAGCACGTGTCTGCAACAGCTTATTCAACACTGAAGACTGCATTTCTGGGAAAAGCTTGATCTGAATAGTTTAAACTCCTGGACATCCTGAGAACCACAGAAGGGCCTTCTAGGTTCCACATGCAGAGTCTACCCTCGCTTTCTTTGACTCCGGGCCTTCGTGATGGCAATTCTAACACTGAGAAGAAAACGATGGTCAAATGAATTGTGACTAATTTCTTGAGTCAACTTTTACTAGCAGTTCAAGCACTCAAGAACGTCAACCACACCCAGGGCAAAGTAGGAGCTGAAAGAGAACAAGAGACAGCAGAGAAGAGCTGGCCAACAAGACTGAGCGGGCGGAAGGCAGCTGGCCGCCAGGATAGACCAGGGCTGACATCCCCCGAGGTTCTCAGAGCCCAAGACCCCAGGCTGCTTGTGCGCAGCTTGCTTACCTTCTCAGGCTCTCTTTCTTCTCTTCACGTGACAAGCAGCAATCTAAGTGCTTATTTATGTGATTTTCTGAAATATTAACCCCACACACAGGGCAATCCACTGTAATTTTTAAAAAGAGAGAGAAAGGCTTTATTATTTGTAGAAAGGGTTAACATAAAATACGCCGTAACTGCTAGCACTTAATAATAAACTTTTAAAAAAGAAAGAAAGAAAAAAAAAAACCTAGAAGGGAATCTCAACGTAAAAGCACCTAGAAAATCAGAAGAAATCATTAAAAAAAAAAAAAGAGGCAGATGGTGGGCACAGGAGTAGGACCACATGCTCATTGGGCAGGACTATACAAGCGCCCCGGGCCTAAATTGAGAAAATAATTAGAATTTCATTCATTAGAGAATGCTTTGGCTAAATTTCTTTTTCTGCCAAGGTGTGACCAACCTGACTATAAAACTAATCTTAAGTTTTCCCAAGGCTTAGGAGCCTCCCTGTTCAGCAAAGACGTCAATGACAGCGTGAGGAAGACGGGTCCGGCTGGAGCGAAGGACAGGAGCAGCTGTCATTAAATCATGTACTGGATTAAGCCAGCTGCCCACAAGTCTGCCCTGGGCTTCGGGCTCATTGTTTTAGCTCTCGTTTGTAATTTCAAATGCAATGTTAAGATCAGAACATGCGATCTGAAAGGGCTTGGGAAGCTCGTCCCCACCAACTTTTGAAGTCCCTGCACATTGTGAAATAGTTTCATGGAGGTGTAGGAATGTGTGTAGGGGCTAAGGGGCCGCCATGGAGAATCGGCAGTGACCAAGGGGGAGGTCAAGGCAGTAGTGGCTCACCAGTACAGGCGGGGAACGGGTTTGACTCATAGCACCCTACAGTGAGAGGGCTCCGGGGAGGTACTAGGAAAGACCAGGAAGGCAGGCCCAACAAGCTACTTCCAAAAATCGGCCAATGCAGCGTCTATGGGTCACAGCAGCCTAATCCCGTAGTCCACAGGATCACTGTCAAAGGCTGCTAACAACAATTACAAGGCAGAGGCAGCTGGGACAGCACAATCCCCAGAACCACTTTCATGGAGGCAGTTTTATACGTTCGGGCTCATTGGAAGATTTCATTGGAAAAGGGGATTTCACGATCAATCTAAAACACGACCATAAGAACTGTCAACCGATACAAGACTAGCCAAGGATGACACATGCCCGAACTTCCATATCCGTGTAAAATGTAAGCTCTTGGAGTGTTCACACAGGCTAACGTCAATCTAATGAAGTTAGAACACGCCTGAAGCCCTGCACTGTCATGTGGGGGGTGGGCACACCGAAGACACCCAAGAGGCAATCTCTGCCGACAAGGGGCTCTGGGACTCAAACGTCACTGGTACAACAGGACCCAGAAACAAAGCACATCCATCAAACACTACAAATGCTCACCAAGCAGTCCAGGAAACACGTATTAGTGACGTGAGGAGAGGAGGAAAACGAATCAGTTATTACGTAGCATCATCCAAGAACAGTTATTCACCACCACACTCTCCCAGAGGCTGTGGGGTGGCTCGAACCACCGACCTTTCTGTAGCAGCCAAGCTCTTAACCCTTGCACCGTGAGGGCTCCTTTCACTAAAGAACCAGGTAATAGGTTAGGCCACAGCCTTTGTAAGGCACATGGTCTCGGAGGCAACACTCATATTTTTATGACATGTATGTCATATGTTGATTTTTTTACACACCATGCAACCCCCTCAAGTGCTAGTTTCCTGTGAGTTGCACACGTTACATGTACACGAGCACTATCATATGGGCAATTTGAAAACTAACACTTAACTTTGCCCCTGCAATTGAAGAGCAGTCATGGAAAATACATAATCTGTAGCTGTGTCCCCCTCCCTCACCCTCCATGGCCATCCAGCCAATTTCGACTCACAGTGACCCGACAGGACAGGACAGAACTGCCCCATTAGATGTCCGAGACGTGACATCTTCATAGGAGCAGTCTCACCTTTCTCCCAAGGGGCCTGGGGTGGGTTCGAGCTGCTGACCTTTCTGACAGGGAGAGACGAGAACTGCAGTTGGGTGGGGCCCAAACCCTCCAGGCTTTCAATGTCTGGCCGGACCACTCAGGACTTTTGTATGCAAATGCCCTCGGAGGTAAACAACGGCATAATAAAATGACAGCGGCCCCAGAAGAGGAAACTGGAAATGAGAAGCAGGAGGAGGGAAGGGAGGACTCACACGGACACAGGAAAATGAATGCAGTGCTCCAACCGCAAACTGAAATCACTCCAACCCCTTAGCCACCAGCCAGAATCCCTATTCGATGAGAGAGAAACATGCCCAGACGTACAAACAACATCAAGCTCTAGAATTGGGAAGAGGCGCAACCCGATCTGTCCTTCCCCCTTTCCTTCCCTTCCGAAAGCTGCTGCCCATTTATTCTTTTATCCTGTGGGGTGCTAAGACCTGCATGAAGAAGTACACGCGGGAAAAGGTGTCCTACCTTTGGTGGCTTGCTTTGCAGTGGATGTAGAGGGTGTCTCCGGAACACTGACACCTGAGGGTCCTGGAGGTGTCTTTTCCACAGAAGGTGTCTCTTTGTTCCTGGCAAAAGTGGTGGCCTCTTTGGGATGGCTGGATTGCCTTTTGTTTTCTTTTAACAACAGCTCCGATGTAGAACCCCCGATTTCTCGGGTCAAGAAACTGTCCATGAACTTGCTTCCCAACTTTAGTGACTGTCTGGAGGTCACAGGAGTGGACGCTTTAATGGCAAGGTTCTTTGAGGAAGCGGCAGCAGGAGAGGTGGGCGGGGACTCCAAAGCAAACTGCAACAGGTGACTCCTAGGGGCACAAACCCCCCCCCCAAGAACGCGAAGTTCAAACTCTCTATCGTCAATTGAAGACATACGCTGTTTCCCCACCACTGGTTCCTCTGAAGCACAGACCAGGCTGTGTGATGACAATCACATCAACATGCTTTCCTCTACAATAAAGCAATAGGGGTAACTTAAAGGGGAGATGGTCTGTCAGTCCGTAAAAGAAAGTAGAGGTACTTCAGTATCTGGCCATGTAATAGCAAACCTACGCTCCAATCATAAAGATCCCTAAAAACTGGATAAAGCCATTGTTTGGAAGCACTGGGTTACAGTCAACACATGGCTGCCACCGTTTAGAGTGAAGAGAAGCATGAGGTGGCATCCATACCACTCGCCCAAGTCCCCCCCTTCCATCCCCCGACCATTCTCACTGAACTGAAGCCCAAACAGGGAACAATGATCTTGTGGGTAAAGGAAACAGAGATTGGAGTTCCAGGTAAAAGTGGCTGGAGGACGAGGTGAGACCACCTGAAAAAAGGAATACCAAAAGCACACTTACAAATAAATCCTCACTGACTCCTGATCGTCCCCAGTAGCACACAGCCGGGAAAGAAGCTACTACTGGGGGCTGACACTGCAAAGGGCAGTGTGGGAAAGCAGATGGAGCTCCAGCCAGGTCAAAGCCAAGTGACCTCAGTGAAGACTTTGGATATTCCTTTGAGACCACACAAAGACTACACCTTAGAAAGAGGGGCCACGTTTTAGGAATATAAAATGAGATAGGTTCAACCTATGAAAACACTAAAGCAGGCCTTAGTACAGGACTCCTCTGTCTACCTGAGTCAGTCTACTCTTTGTTACAGCCAACAATGAGGCACCAAGGACAGACGTGTTACCATTCTCTCCTGAAGTGGTTAAATGCTTAGACTTGGGAGTTCTTGGAGGGAAAACTCCAAGCTTAAGAATTTAAACCCTCGCCCTTCTTCTGCCTCTTAGTGATTCCTCTCAGCTAGACTTCTGTTGCTCCAATAGCCCCAGCATCTCTACGTAATCCTCGTTGTTGATTTTAATTCCCTAGTTGTTCCCCTGTCTAAGGCATTGTTTGCTCAGCATGGTGGTGGGGCAGGAGGAAGGTAAAAGGAAACAGGAAAGATCTCGGGAGCAAAGCTGTGGATAGAGGTATAAACATTGGTGTGTACATATGTAATGCATAAAAATAGAGGTATTGGTCTATGCACATATATTTATATCGCAATACGCTGAGTTGGTGGACAGACTTGGGCCTCTGCTAAAGCCCTGCCTCATTGCAAGAACACTTTGTTCTAACCACCTGGCATTCTGTGATGCTCACCCTCCTGGCATGATCACTGAAGACAAAATGGATGCAAAAGCAAATGTGGTGAAGAAAGCGAATGGTGCCTGGCTATCAAAAGATATAGAGGTCTGGGGTCTTAAAAGCTTGAAGTTAAACAAGTGGCCATCTAGCAGAGAAGCAACAAGCCCACATGGAAGAAGCACACCAGCCTGTGTGATCATGAAGTGTTGACGGGATCAGGTAACAGGCATCAGAAGACCCCAAACAAACAAACAAACAAAACCCATATTGTTGAGAATGAGGAGGGTAGTAGCAGAGACTCCAAACCCATCTGTAGACAATGGGACATCTCCTCACAGAAGGGTGACAAGGAAGAGATGAGTCAACCAGGGGGCAATATAGCACCAATGAAACACACAATGCTCCTCTGGTTTCTTGAGGGTTCCTCACCCCCCACTATCATGACCCCAGTCCCGCCTTTCACTGTGGGCTGGATAAGAGCAGATACACAGGCACAGATAAAAGATAAGAACTCAGGACACATGGAATCCAGGAACAGGAATGGGAGTAGCAATACTAGGAGGATGGGGGAAGGTGGAGAGAAGAAGGGAGGAAGGGGGAACCGATTGCAATGATTGACACATGACCACACACACCCAGGGGAATGAACAACAGAAACCATGGGGAAGGGAGACAGCAGTCAGCACAAGATATGAAAACAATAATAATAATTTATCAAGGGGTCACGAGGGTGGGATGGCGGGAAAAAGAGGAGCTGATACCAAGGGCTCAAATAGAAAGTAGATGTTTAGAAAATAATGATGGCAACATATGTACAAATATGCTTGATATAATTAATGTATGGGTTCTCATAAGAGCTGTAAGAACACCCAATAAAGTGATCTTTAAATTAAAAAAAAAAAGAAATTAAACATGATGGTAAATAAAACCAAAGCTATAAGTGATGTTCAATACTCTCAACCATAAAAATTATAACCATGTAAACTGCTATGCAGAGTCAGAGAAAGGATACTTTCTTACTTAGGTCAAGAATAATTTATATTAAAAAAACTCATTAATTTTTCTTCCAACACAACTAAAGAACAATTACTTTAAATAAAATTGAATCCAGCTGGGGTTGGGGAAGGGACCATGTGTTATTTGACAACAAAAGGCAAATTCTAAACGAAAATGTTACAGCTGCACTGTTAGCCCTGTATCTGAAAATTTCCAAGATGATTTCCAATAAACTTCTATTATTTAAAAAAAGTAGAAAACTTAAAAACCATAATGGCACATCAAATGGCAACAACAGATGGGAAGACAGGCAGGAATGACGTTGGCAAGCAGTAAATACTAACATCTTACGTTGAAGTCCTAAGGCTCAACCACCTCCCTCATAAATCTTGAGCAAAGTTCAGAGAAGCGATGAAAACCTTGAAAGTTCACCCCAACTCATTTTGCAGATGAAAGTCGTCCCACGGTGTCCAGGAAATGCGCACCCTAAGGCTATCACTAGTGAGAATGGCGATTCCAAAAACCCAAGCAGAGAAGCAAACGATCAAATGCATACATCACAGCTACAAAGAAGGCTTCTCACCCCACCACGCTCATCACAATGGATAATGAGATACTGTATTCCGTTACTATGGGGGGACGGGGGGTGGGGGGGTGGGGGGGGGGTGGCAGGAGTGTGCTCAACCACTCCAAGGCTTCTCTGTAAATTGCTTATGTCTGTGAATCCAAAGATACGGATCACTTCCCTTGGACAAACAGATGCTGTTATTTGCAATAACGCCCTTCTAGATAACACCCTTTTCCTAGAAGGGCAGCTGTACCTTCAGCACCAGCACCTCGGGATAGAGTTTCATTGTCTCTGAGAAAAATCACACAATCCAGTAAATTCCATGCAAACAGCATCTAATAGCATGAATGGATGGAGAAGACATTCTGCTGAGTAAGTCAGTCAATCACAAAAGGAAGAAATCACTTGTATAAAAAGACAAGAATAGGGAAGAGGCATGCATGCAGAAACCGTCTTCCATTAGTGCTGGCGAGCAGGGATTAAGTGATCGGATTACGGGAAGGGGAAATCATTCTTTCGACAGCAGGTGATTGTGATGTTTGGCCATGGGAAAAGCAATGCCAAATGTCAGTGAAGTGCACACAGCCTGCAACGTGGCCAGTGGTCCAGAGTGGCACCGAGATACAAGAATAGGAGAAGTTCTACTAACAATTCTGCAACAGCCCTCCTCTACAACAAACAGGGGAGGCAAGCAAAAATACAACAGGGGGAAAGTGTGGTGACATAGGTATAATCACGCACACGTGTCTGAAGGGAGGTTTATACATCTATATACAAGGACAAGTACAGATGACTCTGTAGGGGTATGTACAAGTCCTGGTGGCACAGCCACATAAACAGTACACTGCTAACCACGAGGTGGATGGTTGAAACCCACTAGCTGCTCCCTGGGAGCAGGAAGAGGTTATTTGTTTCCATAGAGATTTACAGCCTGCGAAACCCTACAGAGGGTGGACGTGAGTAGGAATTCACTCAACGACTGTGGGTTTGGCTTGGTTAATTTGAGTAGACAGGTGTTTCGGTAAATACATGACAACAACAAGCCCTAATAATAATAATAATAAGCAACACCATAATAAATAGAGAAAAGACTGAAGTTGTCAAAGATTTGCCTTTACTTGGGTGCACCATCAATGCTTATGGGAAGCAGCAGTGAAGAAATAAATGATTGTGCATTCGGGCGACTCTGCTGCAAAAGACCTCTTCACAGTGTTAAAAAGCAAAGACCCCACTTTGGAGGCTATGGCGCACCTGCCCCAGACCACAGTATCTTCCACCACCAAGCTGAACAATGACTGAGGTGGAAGAGCAGATGCCCTGGCATTACGGTGCTGGCAAAGACTAGCAACTATACCATGGTCTGGCCAAAGAACAAATGAATCTAATTTGGAAGAAGTACGGCTAACATGCTCCGAAGAAGAGGGGCTGGCCAGATTTTGCGTCCGTAGTTTGGATATAGGATCAAGAGAAGCCAGTCCCTGGCGAAGGACATCACGCTTAGTGAAGTAGCGGGTCAGTGGGCGAGGGGCAGCTCCTCAACGAGAAGGCCTGACACCGTGGCTGTCACGTTGGCTCAGCCTAACAACTGTGAGCACGGAGCAGAACCGGGCAGCCAGCATTTTGTTCTGTCGTGCAGCAGTGTCAGAAGGCACGGACACCAGAGCCACAGACTTACAGCGACTCCAGGAAGGGACAGAACTGGCCCTGGGAGTTTCTGAGACTGTTTACGGGAGGAGAAAGTTTCACAGAGTGTTTACTCTGTACCGAGTAGAAAGCCCTTTCTCGCACAGAGCAGCTGGCGGTTTTGAACTGCTGACCTTTCGGATCACAACCAAACGAGGAACCCCAGCACCACCAGGGCTGCCAGTAGAGGTCACAGCGATGGCTACTTCCCAGACATAAGCAGACACTTTGTGGAATTGGTTTCATGGGATTAAAGTCTTGGGACCACAGTTTCATGTGCTCACTCTGGCATTTTGGGGTCCGTAGTTAGTGGTCTACCTCCTAGTTGGGGGAGCAGTGTCTGCAAGCCGCCATCTAAGTAAGATACAGCTACAGTGACTCATTTATTGACTCCCTTGTTCACCGACATTGCAGAGTTGCTGTAATAGTAAAAGTCGCACTGTCTGTTCTCTGTGTTAGGGACACATGCAGCCTGAGCCACCACTGAAGTGTGAGGGGAGAGAAACCCGGGCTGTGATGATCGAGATTCTCGGGGGGCGGCATTTATGTAGAGATGCCACCTGGGGGTCGGGAATGATGTGTCCTCATCCTCCATTTTATGATCGGACGTGGTCCTCCTCAGCTTCCAATAAGACCCACTTTCACACCATCACCTGCTCTTCGAGACCTAACCGTGTCAATAAATGAGGAGGGCATGTATTGGCTTCTACTCATCGGGGGCAAAAGACAAAGAGGGAAACCGATGCCTTCAACGCGAAGCCAGTCCAGGCTAATGACGGCAGACTCGTCACCGTGGGGAAGGGGAAGGTAACAGACAGGAAGGGGAAGGCCCGCAAAACGGAGCGAGGCAGGCAAGGCAGGGGAGGGAGGGATGCAAGAGAAAGGCACCAGTGGGAGATGCTGTGGGCACCCAGCCGGCAATCACGGTGCTCTACCAGCAGATGTGTGGGTGCATCTAACAGGCAAGAGACGAGGAGCAGAACCATGAATATATGTAGGTTGAACAAGGATGTTTCTACACTGGTGCAGTGGTTAGGCTGGGGCTGCGATCTATATGGTCAGCAGTTCGAATCCACCAGCAGCTCCATGGAAGAAAACTGGGCTTTCTACTCCCATCAACAGTGACAGCCTCGGACACCCAGAGGGAGTCACGATGAGTCAGCAACGACTCGATGGCAGTGAGTTGGGTTTTTTTATTTCGACATATACGTGGTAAAACATGCTTGTCTGTGGCTTGGGGTGACCATGCTCACTTTCGTCGCCATACATTGGTCAGTTAAGAAGTAATGCTCCATTTCTGAGCTTCATAAATATGAGGGACGGCATACTTCATGGGGTATATTTTACAATATACAAGTGGACTTCAAGATAGTGGGGGAAATTCCATTATCTTTTCATTTCATTTTCCCATGAACTTTCAAGCCCCTGGTGTACACTGAGCAAAAAGAATGAGAATGAATAGATTAGCATATAACACACGGAAGCAATGTGAGATGGGTGTGCATGCATGGATCCACAGACACACATGGTTACCTATGTCTGTTGTCCAGCTCTGTCCAAAGAGAGGGCTTAGCTGCCACAATACCCCAGTCCCAATAACCGTGCAGAGTGCCAGGTCTTGGTTCCTAGATATCATTAGTCAATGACAGGAACAAGGCTCCTTAGGGCCGGAGGAGAAAACCTACAGAATGAGTCTGGAGGTTTTTTGACTCCTTATTTTGAGGCGCCCACCCAAAGTGCTCAAGTTTGCATTTTTAACTCGTAATTGTTTTCCAACAAGGATAAGAACCTGACTAGCATTTGTCAGATTCCTTCTTTTACCCTCAAATTAAGCCACCCTGCATCACAGAGTAAAGACGGGGCACAGTTAAACAGTCAGTCTGTTAAGGGTTAGTCACAAAATTAAATCATACCGTGCAAAATTCAAACTTTTTACCAGTTCATCTAATACGCGGTTGTTTTTCAGGTCCGGCTCTGTGACGGTCTAGAAAAAGAAGGAAAAGACGATAGAGAAAGGTCACAAACAGTAATTAACTTCTGAGAGCCTTGTTCTTAAAGATGAACGACCCATCCTCCCGGAATTCTTCATCCACTAAGTCTCCCAGAACCTCAAAGGCATGCTCATTTATCTCCTCCTGATCCGAGGGCTGAGCAGGCTGCCGGGAAGCCTGAAAAACAGCTGCCGCCGCCGCCGCCGAGGCACCCTGCACATCCTGACCCAGAACCGGGCTCGGGCAGGAACCCGTCTGCCCAGGCAGCACCGCTTTCCCCGGTACTTCTCCGGAAGAGCACAAAGGAGATGTCCTTTGAAGTAGTGACGTACAAGTGAGTTTTAGGTGTTTGAAGAGTTTAAAAACCAGGCTGGTTTTCACTTGGCACAACTGGCACCATTTCTATCTTGAAGAGGGCATGCAGCACAGGGACGGAGAAGTCTGACCCAGAAGCCAATGGCACCATTTCTTACATCCGGAGGAAATCAGTCAGGGAAGTCCAATGACTCGCGAATACCATTGCCCAAGCTCACCCTTTAAGGAATCCTTATATTCTTTATATTTGCCCTCACTGCCCCCTTCTCTTTTTCTTTATTCTCATTTGCTTTCGAACTCCCTTTTCACCTATTCCAAATACTACCCACACTGGAAAACCCTAAGAAAGTCTGCCTGGGGCGTCCCCTGCAGGGCTGTTAGGAGGACAAAGGCAAGTGGGGGTGGGGGTGGACATACACTGCGTTCAGCCAAGGGTCAGGAGTCTTTGTCTGCTGTACAAATACTCACACCAGCACTTTACAAAAGAACATCCGACTGACTGCATTATACTTTCTCCCAGACCCCTCACCAGAGAAGAGAAATGATACAAAATTAGGAGTCATATAAACATGCTCATAAAATTTAAAGAGGGCTACATTCCCAAAAGACATGTCCCTCACTGCCACTGAGTCTGCTCTGACTCACGGTGACCCCACAGGACAGAGGAGCACTGCCCCTGGGGGTTCCACATGGTGAACCCTCACAGGAGTGGAACGCCTCCTCTTTCTCCCCCAGAGCAGCTGGTGAGTTCAAACTGCTGGCCTTGTGCTTTACAGCCCAACTCAGAACTCACCACACTGCCACCCCTTCAAACACATGTAGGCTACCAGAAACCGTACTGAAAAACTGAACAAGCCTAGTTTTCCTTCGAGGTGCTATAGAGGTCCCTCCGGCCCTGTCTTCTTCACAGCGTAACTTAGTATCGACTCATCTTCCCACAGGTTTCTGGGTCTTGGGGTCCAGGTGTTGTTGAGCAGGTGCTGCCTCAGGTGAGCCCAGAGGAGACCTGTGTCGGCAGGGTCCTCAGGGGATGGAGCCTCGGAAGACTGCCGGCCATTCTTCCCAGGCGTCTGGGGGTGGACTCAACCCCCTGACCTGGCAGTTCATAGCCGCCGCTAGAAGCACCCAGGGTCTCCTTTCTGTATGTGCCAACAGTAGGAAGCTCAGCAAAATGAGGAAAGAAAAACTCACCACACAGCAAGTTGGGCATTGAGTTTTATAGGACAGAAATTTTCTGATACAGAGAGAACAGTCTGCAAAAACACAAACACAACATAATAAATTAATTGAGGCATGTTAATAATACAGGAATCTGATTTCTAATCAAATCTGATGAACATCAGTATTTTTAATAAAGGCCCTTTAACTTAGGCCAATTTCAAAGTCCTGGTACATTTCCACCCATCTCAGATCAGCCATGATCATCTCGATTTCTAGTACGTCTATTGACATTTTACAAATGTAACTAAGACCATCTTGAGGAGGGGAAAATATAAACCGCTTAGAGAACACAGGCCTCACCGCCCACACGAGACCACCCTCTGCTGCCACCCACCCGCCCAGGGGATTCTCCCCACCACGTGGCTTCTGATATCAATTGCAAGGCTGGGAGTCTCCAAGACAGCCTTCGGGTCAATCACTCACTAGCAGGACCCACTAAAAAGGATCATCGTTACCGTTTACGACAGTTAAGTGACCAGATTAAAATTCAGGCCAGGAAAAAGGTGAGGGAGAGTCCAGGAGGGGACTCTGGACAGAGCTTCCTACTGTGCTCTCGCCATGGACTCAGCGTAGCGTGACTCTCCTGAGATGGACTGGCAAGAGTATGCATGCAAAAAGAAATTCTAAAAAACGTCTACCTCCAAATGGGGACGCTCATACCAGCCCTGGAGCCCCTGGTCTTCGTTGGGGCTGTGTCTCACAAGTGAGAAGCCCTGGGGGCAGCTAACTGCAAGGTCAGCAGTTCGAAACCACAAGCCTCTCCATGGAAGACAGATGGGGCTTTCTACTCCCAGAAACAGTTACAGTCTCGAAACTCACAGGGGAAGTTCTACCCTGTCCTCTGGACTGGATGATAACATTGAAGCTGGAGATCACATGATAGAATTTTGCCAAACCAACTCTTTTTCATAGCAAATACCTTTTTACGACAACACACAAGGTGACTATCCACCTGGACTTCTTCAGATGGAACACACAGAAATCAAATTGTCTCTATCTGTCGCAGGAGATAGAGACACTGAGAAGCTCAGTATCACCAGCTAAAACCAGGCCAGGAACCCACTGTGGAACCCACTATCAATCACTCATATTTAAGTTCAGGATAAAGCTGAAGAAAACTGAAACAAGTCCATGAGAGCCCAAATACAACCTTGTGTCTAGCCCATCTGACTTAGAGAAGATCTCAAGATCAGAGTTGATGCACTGAACACAAATAACAGGAGACCCAATGAGCTGCGGGAGGACATCAAGACTATCATTCATGAAGAAAGCAGAGGGCATTAAAAAGACAGGAAAGAAAGAGAGAGAAAAAAACCAAACCCAAAGTAGATGTCAGAAGAGACTCCGAAACTTGCTGTTAATCACAGAGCAGCTAAAGCAAGTGGAAAAAACTATAAAGTCAACAAGCTGAACAGAAAATCTCAAAGGGCAGTCCTGATAGACAAAGCCAAATATTATCATGAAGTGTGCACGAACTAGAATTAGAAAATCAAAAGACAAGAACACAAGTCAGCAGAGCTTAAGCGGAAAGAACTAAGGGAAAACCAAGCCTCAAGCTGCAATAGTGAAAGTTTCTATGGGCAAAATATTCACCGGTGCAGGAAACACCAAAAGAAGGTGGAAAGAATAAAGGACGCAGAGTCACTGTACCGAAAAGAACTGTACCACCAGCTCAGGAGGTGGCATACGAGCAAGAGCCAGTGGTGCTGAAGGAAGAGGTTCAAGCTGTCAGGGGAGCATTAGCCAGAAACAAGGGTCTAGGAATTGGTGGAGTACCCACTGAAATGTTTCAGCAAGCTGAGGAAGCCCTGGAAGCAGGCACTCATCTCTGCCAGAAAATGTGGAGGATGGCCAACTGACAGGAAGAGATCCATATTTGTGTCCGTTCCAAAGAAGGTGAGCCAACAGAATGCTCACATTATAGAACTATATGATTGATATCACACGCAAGTGTATGTTTGCTTAAGATCGTCCAACATCAGTTCCAGCAGCACATTGACAGGGAGCTGCCACAGGTTCAGGGCAGATTCAGAAGAGGACGTGGAACAAGGGATACATAGCACTGCTGATGTCCGATGGATCTTGGCTCAAAGCAGACAATACTAGAAAGGTGTTCACTTGTGTTTCATTAACTACGCCAAGGCAGTTGACTGTGTGGATCATAACAAACTATGGATTGAGATGAATGGGAATTCCAGAACACTTGGTGGTACTCCTGTAGAACTTGGACATGGATCAAGAGGCAGCTGTGCAAACAGATCAAAGGATATTGCCTGGTTTAAAATCAGAAAAGGTGTGTAACAGGGTTGAAGCCTCTCACTGTACAGATTCAATCTGTGTGCTGAGCAAAGCATTGGGAAAGCTGGCTTAGATGAAGAAGAAGGTGACATCAGGATTGGAGAAAGGCTTCTTAACAACCTGAGCTCTGCAGATGACATGATCTCGCTGGCTGAACGTGAGGAGGACTTGAAGTGCTTGCTGATGAAGGGCAAGGACTGTCGCCTTCAGTGTGGATCACAACTCAATGTACAGAAGACCCAACAGAACCAACCGGTAACATCACCATAAATGGAAAAAAGGTGGAAGTTGTCAAGAATTTTTGTCTTACTTGGATCCATAATCAATGCTCATGAAAGCAACAGTAAGAGATCAAGAGAGGCACTGCATTGGGTAAATCTGCAGCACAAGACCTCTTCAGTGCTGAAATGCAAGGATGCTACTTTGAGGACTAGGGCGTTTCCAGGGTATTTTCAATTGCCTCATGTGCATGTGAAAGTTGGACACTGAATAAAGAAGACCAGAGAATAGTCAATGCATTTGAACTGTGGTGCTGGAGAGGAATATTGAAAGTAACATGAACTGCTGAAAGGACAAACCAATTTGTTTTAGAAGAAGTAGGCTCCTTAGAGGCAAGAATGGCAGGACTTCACCTGACATTCTTTGGACGTGTTGTCAGGAGACCAGTCCCCGAAGAAGGACATCGTGTTTGGAAAAGTGGAGGGCGTCGCAAAGGACCCTGGATGAGACGATTGACATGGCGGTTGCAACAAGCCTGGGGACAATGGAGGACGGCACAGGCCCGGAAGGGTCCTTCTGTTGTGATGGGGTCGCTACGTGAGTTGACATCAACTCCATGGCAGTGAGTTTGGGTTTGGAATCATGTAGGTGACTACCTGTACCCAAGTTGATTCTAGCTCCTCAAGAATTCAAGCTGTTTGACCCAAAACCACCCCCTTAAGCACGCTGTTGGGATCTGGCAGCCCCCCAGATGAACAAAGGAGCGCCTTAGCGACGACTTCACAGAATCCCCGGACAAAGGGCAGACCTCTCTTTAGACAAGGCGCATCCTTTTAAAATATACCAAAGGTGGGCTCATCATGAGTCACTAGGACGTCACAGCCTCACAGGCAACATGCATCCATCTCTGTATCCTGTGTCTACAAAATGCAGAAAACACACACGCCAGGCCTGTGCTGGGTATTCTCCACACATGCCTCAGACAGCGCCACTGCCTAACATTTCACACGTACATCTTGAAACATGAGATAGACATGCGTGAAGAAACAGTACGGGGCTCTGGGGCTGCCGTCAGGCACTGGGCTGCTGGTCACCAGCCCCCCCACAGGAGAAAGAGGAGGCTGCGGATCCCACGTGGATTTAGCCTCGGAAGCCCTAGCGGGAGCTGCCATGAATTGCATTGCATTTGGTTTGGGGATTTGGGTAACCCTGTGCATCAGGAGCTCTGGTGGCACCATGGGTTAAGCTCTGCACCCGGGGAGAAAGACGAGGAGGCTGTCTGCTGTCTGCCCCGTTAAGATCCAGTCTTGGAAGCCCTCAGGAGCAGATCTACTCTGTCCTGGAGGATCGCTAGGAGCTGGAATCGATCGGACGACCGGACGGCAGTGGATTTTGTTGGTTGGTTTGTTTAACCATGTAAATTAGGTTGACCACTCGACACCGGAAAAGCATTTCATGACAGGCGCTGAAAAGAAGGCATAAAAAGGGAAAGTTCTTGACATCCAAAAGCTACAAAGTAGCGAGGGCCAGACTAGCAAACAAACAATCACGATACAATTTAGCATCGCGTGGATGGGTGGTGGAAAGCGGAAATTTGACCACCTCCATTCTCCATGCCCCAGGCAGCAGGAAAGGAACTCCGGTCAAAACTAAAAAACCCAGGGCGGCGGCTCACAGGACGGTCTCTTCAGTTCCCTTTGAGCGGATTCCAACTGGCCAAGTTCACATCTTGTCAGAGGCAAACTGTGCTCTGCAGGGTGGCTGATGGCTGATTTTTTTTTCCTGCAGACAGCAGGACTTTTTCTCCCAAGGTGCCTCCTGGCAGATTCAAACCTCAGTCTTCCCAGTGGCACCACCCAGGACTCCAACCTGGGACCTTGCTGGCAGCTAACTTACCACTTGCCCAAGGCCAGTTTAGTAGCGGGGCCTTATCCGAAAGGGTTCGTCGGTATAATTAATAAGAGGAGACGGCCTGACTTCAGGGACAGACAGACAGGACATGAATAATTGCTGCCAGCCTCCCTTGGGCAGCATGAAATGGGTAAGTTCTTTTAGGAATGAAAATTAATAAGGAGGGCAGGAAAGGAGATGTGACCTTGAAGCTGTCAATGAACACAACTCTAAAAGAGGCTCCTACGTGAGCAAAGACACACTGATGACCTGGCGAGTGGGACTTGTCCAAGGCTGCAGGGCGGGTGCCATTCGGTCCACCCCAGTCTCCTCAGGACCAGCCCAGGGGATTTCCTCTCCCTTCCCGCGCACGAGGAGTGGATCTGGATATTCTGTTTTTCCCAACTGCAAGACATACCCCCAGATCCTTCTTAGAAGCAAGAGGGGTGAGTTTCAGCTCATGTACTTAAGGCATGTCATCCAGTGGGACCAGTCCCTAGAAAAGGCTTTCAACAGATCAGCAAAAAAAAAGAGGAAGGTCCTGGGTCCTCAAGGAGCTGGGCTCGCCCAGTGGCTGCCACAAAGGCCCCAAACACAGGACGACCACGAGCGTGGCCCAGCACCT